ATTTCTAGGGTTGTATTCCACGAGGTCTTTTGATTGTAATTACTCATACCTAACATAATATGATCAAGTTGTAATGCAATGAAAAGTAAACGAAGTGTGTTGAGGTGCCCTAGTTCGAGATCATAGACTACTAATACAAGTAAGTGAAAAGCAATGTAAGCAAGTAAAGTAATGTTTAGGTAGTGATTCTAGACAATCATGCAAACAACCTCCTCAATAAGAGGCATCTATGCATCATCTATTATGATGCCCTATTGATAGCGTCGTAATTGCACATGTTTGCACTCTTGTTTCCGACCATTTTAGCTCAAATTTGTGGTTCCTTGGCCTATTTTATGCTAGGTTGTGTTGTTTTGTCATATCTCAGGTTCTAGCGAGTAAAGGGATGCATAGGTGCACGTTTCGGGTCATTTGGAGGTCAGTTGGCGATTCAAGATTCAAAATACGGGCATCCCCTACACAATTACGGGCGTAATTGCCACTGCCCTGACCGTAATTGTAATGTCGAGCCAAATCCCTGAGAATGCTGTCGAAGAGCAAAATACAGGCAATAACGGAATGAATTACGATCGTAATTCCATGAATACTTGCAGTAATTGGGTAATGACGACCGTAATTCCCCTCATCAATGTTAAGTGAAATGCGCGTTTTGGGTGAAATACGAGCAGGCCATGATTACGACCGTAATTCAGCCCATATTTCGCCCAGAATCGGGGTTTTTAGGTAGATTAGAGCCAAAGGAAGGGTGGTCGACTTTTGAGCAGAAAACAGAGTTTTAGAGAGAGAAAGTGCGAAGAACAAACCCTAAGAGCTATTTGGAGTGGATTTCTCACCATTGAAGCCCAGATTGCATCCCTAGGAGTGAAGATCAACATCCCAGAGCAGATTATCCCCATCTTTATAAGTATGACTGCTCTGATTTCTGTTTTCCTCTCTCTCTCTATGGAGTAGAACCTTCTCTCACTTAGGTATGAAGAACCCTAGTTCCATGTGTTAGGAATCTTGATTGTAATGACTTTGGATTGATATACTGATTGATTTTAATCGATTGATGCATGATTCATTGAGTCAATTGAAGCCTGATCATCTTTTCTTGATTTCTGCTGCAACCTGAGATAGATAGATTCTGATTAGGTTGTTAGAGCTTCATCAATCAGTGGTAGTAGATTGGTTATATGAGAGTTAATCGATTTACTGCTTTGTACTGGAATCCAATTCCAGTAGTGGAGTTCTGTGTTTATTGCCTCAGCAGTCTATCTCGGTGAAGGCTAGTCGCCTGCCGGTTAGTCTGTCTAAGAGGGCTTGGTCAGCTTAAGAGATTCCAAGCTACTGTCGGATCTTCCGCAGTTTAATCAACGGTAAATCAACCAAAGGTAATTACAAATTTGACCTAACTAAGGAGCTAGGGGGACTCATTCCCGAGTGACTCTTCCCCTGCTTAAGAACTTCGAACCATTTCTTGCTTTCTTACTGCTTTTGCTTAAAACCACATTCAATCAACTTAGTTTGCTAGATAATAAATAATCACGGAGTAGGCAGTAGATCTAGACCCCGGGTTGACAAATAGAACTTGCCACTTTACTGCATTTCCGGGCCGCGATTACACTTGGTCGCAGTTTGGTGTTGTGTTTTAGCTTGTCACCTAATCAATGAAGAACAATGAAGTTAGGATAACACATGATTAAGTGTGGAACTCTACGAGCCATAATCAATGGTCTATAACATACACAAAACATAGTTATTGAGCACATAACTTAATAACACACACAAAACATAGTTAGTAAAACATAACCATGTCACAATTATAATCCCATATTTTATGATAGTAAAGGGTTGGAGATGGTGGAGAGATGACGAATGAAGGAGGTAAATTTTAAGTTTAAGAGAGTGAGAGGAAGGGGAGATGTTGCTTTTTGTTTCTCTCTTAAGCTAGAGTAGGAAGAAATGGATGCATAATTGAAGGTGGGGTAGGTTATTTATTTTGTGGAATCTTGTCCTATATCGCTCCATATAGTATCGGTTCAGGCTACAACATCCCAGTTGTATGCGATTACCATACACTGCGATGGGGGTGGGCAACGGGATGGGACGGGATACCCGTCCCGTTTGAAACGGGTACCCAGTCCCATTTGGAGAGCAATCTCCATTCCATGTCCTAAACTCGGACGGGTTAACGGATAGCCATTACCCGTACGGAACGGATAACGAGTACCCATACTACCCGTAAATACCGATTCAATCCGGCTAGCTTCCATCTTATACCTATTATTTAGCGCAGATATGAGTTCCAATCTTGTAGCTCACGGAAAGAATAAAGAGCCCGAAGGAACTTTCTCTTTGATTTTTCTTCATGCTTTCATTTCTGTTTAATCTTGCAACAATTATTTATCTTAATGCTACGAGAGTAAGATGAGACACTAAAATACTTGTGCCTACTCTTTCCATTCTTGCTTCTTCTGCTAATCCATTGACGACTTTCTGTGCAGGTACCAGCTACAATTGCATATGCTTTATGTGCCTTTTTTAGCTTAAAAGTTCTTATAGGAATTGTATTGTTTCCTTATGTGTTTATGTTTCCTTTACTTTTAATCTTAATAATATGATGTCAGCAGGAATTGAGTTTCATCGGCAGGAAGAGGAGGGTTAATACCACAAAATGAAATTAGCTCGGCATTGGGTTTGGCCATTTGGGAAATCGAATGGGGCAGCAAGAGGCGGGTTGGGGGTTCGAGTGGGCTCGGGTTTTGGGCTAATGGGTATAACGGGTACCCGTAATACCAAAACGGGTATTAACGGGTAGCCCGATGGTACCCAAAATAACGATTCTTGATTTCAAGTCTCATCCCGTAAAAAAATTTACGGGTATTTGGGTACTTGTAACCCTAAAAAAAGGGACGGGTACCGGTATACCCAAATAACTGTATCCCGTTGCCCACCCCGTACACTGCGACTCCATTGCAATTAATCTTAATCACTTTACACAAGCGTGAGTTTTGTGTTGAATCATGGAATACACAATCAATGAAAGTTGTTCGCTTGACGTAGTGTTGATCCATGTGGAACGGGCGCAACCTTAGTAGTCTCACTAAATTTGATGTTGTTATGAGAAGCGACACAACCCAAAATTTTGTATTTCGGCAAATTTTAGTGTAAATGATGTATTGTGTGAATTCCTTTTAGTAATTGCGGTATTTTGGCAAAAAATATTGTAAAAGTTGAGGACGTGATCCAATGTAAGAGCATAAGAGAACCCCGAACATTTCATAAGATAAACGTTGAGTTGTTTCAATATGGGTATGTGATAGATTTAGCTAAGAGCTTTTTTTTTATACAGGTGACATAGTTTGATTATTCATAGTTAGATGTTACGGAAGGAATTTTAACACGAGAGTTGAATGTATTGTTAAACAAGAGACTTCAATTTTAGTGAGGCTACTGAGGTTGCACCCAATCCAAATAGTTATAGTTTACATAACTATAAATTATTAACTAAGCTATGAGTGTGTGGTTGATAAATTAGCCTAATTACTAAATTACATTTTCATAAATCTATCTTTTAATAAGAATCTAGATAGCTTTAATTAAGTGGATTACTATTAGCAATGAGCAAAGGAGTTAAAAACACCAGAGGTCTTCCCTGCTAGATTTCTTCTTCTTCCCAGTTGCAGAGAGTGTGGGCCATCAAATGGGTCGGTCTGTTGCATTCTCGTCCTACAAAGGCAAAAGAGAGGCCCTCCAGCACCCTGGTCTGAGTTCAAATTTCTGCATAGGTTGTTTTCACCGAGTAAGTTTCTAATTCCTTTTGTTCCTTTTATTGCCACTGGAAATAGGTTGTTTTCACCGAGTAGATCCCCCTTCGTTCAGCTCTTCGGACTCTATTATCCTCTGTCGGTTGCCTTGGGACATAGATTTGTCTAATAAGTTTCCTGTCTCGAGCTTCAAAGTGAGTTTGCAATATAGCTTCCTTCCATTCTCTTCGGTCATGATCAATAAGTTCAGAGACCATTGTTGGAGCAGTTGGTGTTCTAGTAGAAACCAATTTTACTACTTCGTTCCGCAATAACCATTGGTCGTCCCAAATCTGTACTTTTGATCCATCTTAATCTTCCATTTGATCCATTGCTGCACTAGTTCTTTTGCTGCCATCATACTTTCCAAGTATAACTTGGGTTGTGTCCCACTTCTCCTTGAAGAATGTCACTGTGGGGGAAATAACGAGCCTTCAGAACTCGGGCAGCTAGAGAATTAGGGTTTCTCACAAGATTCCAGACATGCTATCAATATTGAAGTTACACACAAAAACTATAATTATTTCGTAGAAAATCTAATGATATATAATGAAATTTTAGATATAAAAATAAACATAAATGTATAAATAAACATATTATTATTTATTATTATTATAAATAAATAATAAAAGAACGGACGGGCCAATAGAATGTATACAAAGCTAAGTTTTTTTAGAAGATACAATGCTGATTATTCACATCAATGCAATTGCAAAACTAATTGTATATCATTTTTTTATTGTCATCTCAAATTTTATGCAATCCAACTCACTTTTATTTCATTGCACCTGCATCAATGCAATTCACTTGCAATTGCATATATGAGAGTTTAATTTATTTTATAATAAAAAAAATCAAGAGGGAAAATATAATTTTTTTTTTCCTATGTGACTTGCATATTCAATTTTATTTAATGCAAGCTTGTATTTTTGCAAGTTCCCACTACATTGGTGCAATCCCTTTTGCAATTGCATATTGAGTTACATATAGGATTTGCAATTGAGCAAATACCATTGATGTTATGCTAAAGCTAGTAAGTAGTATCCAATGGAGATGGAGTGAAGGGCATATTGCGCCAACCTGAAAACTTTTCTTTTGAACTTCCGTTTTGCGGCCCAATACGAAAAATGAAAACGTAGAATGATTGAGTCCGAAGGCATGACAACCCGTTCCAAAATCTCCCCCTCACTTTCGCCACTTTCCTCTCTTTTTCAAACCAAGAAGAAGTTAGAAAAAAAAATAACAATAACAACAACAACAAAAATTGTCAGCGATAAACATTCTCTTTCCCTCCCTTACATTTCCCCCCAATTTCCCCTCTCCCCTTCTCGCATCATCATCATCATAAGCTTTTTCTTCGTCGTCATCTTCATGGCAGAACTCATAGAAAGCTACGCATCTTCCCCATCGACAGAGCGCGGGCGCGGAATTCTAATATCCGGCGATGCAAAATCCAACAGCATTCTCTACACCAATGGCCGCTCCGTCATTATCAGGTACCTTGACAAGCCCCTCAAAGTCGACGTCTACGGCGAGCACGGCTACCCTGTCACAATCGCTCGCTATTCCCCCAACGGGGAGTGGATCGCATCCGCCGACACCTCCGGAACCGTCCGGATTTGGGGCGTCCACAACGGCTTCGTCCTCCACAACGAATTTCGGGTCCTCTCTGGCCGAATCGACGATCTGCAATGGTCTCCCGATCAGCTGAGGATCGTTGTCTCCGGCGACGGCAAGGGTAAATCTTTTGTACGTGCTTTCGTGTGAGTTTTACCCCTCTTCTCGTAATTTTCCGGCTTGCTTTGCTTCCTATTCAATCGATTCCAGGGCAATTGATTTTTGGATCTGGAATGTGGGTGAAGGTGGGATTCGGGAAGCACCGTGGGGGAATTCGATGGACATTCAAAACGGGTGTTGAGTTGTGCGTTCAAGCCCACTCGACCGTTCCGTATAGTTAGTTGTGGAGAGGATTTTGTAGTGAATTTCTATGAAGGCCCTCCGTTTAAGTTCATGCTCTCTCACAGGTTCAATTGCTTAACAATTCCTTTGTTAATTAACTCATATTTGAACACCCATATCTTCATATTTGTGATAACAATGTGTTCTATGGATGCAGGCAGCACTCCAACTTTGTGAATTGTGTTAGATTTTCACCAGATGGCAGCAAGTGCATTACTGTGAGCTCTGACAAGAAAGGGTTAGTCTACAATGGCAAGACTGGTGAAATCATTGGAGAGTTGTCCCATGAAAATGCTCATACAGGTAGCATATACGCCGTTAGCTGGAGCCCAGATAGTAAGCGGGTCTGAGCCACAACTCTTAAATGGTGCATCCAATTTGAACTCTGTCCGATTTTAGCTCAACCATCACCTAATCGTTGTGCCATTGTTATCCAGGTGCTAACAGCTTCGGCCGATAAGTCTGCCAAAGTATGGGAGATTTCCGAGGATGGGACTGGGACCGTGGTAAAGACATTGACGTGTCCTGGTTCTGGTGGAGTTGAGGATATGTTGGTTGGATGCCTTTGGCTCAATGATCATATCATTGTTGTTTCACTTTCTGGAGCGATTAACTTGTTCTCTGCAAGTGATCTTGATAAAGCTCCAGTGTTGTTGTCAGGACACATGAAGAATGTCACAGCATTGACACTGCTCGAAAATGAACAGAAGACGATTTTGACAAGCAGCTACGATGGCCAACTCATCAAATGGATACAGGGAATTGGTTATGCTTGTAGATTACAGAGGGGGAGCAATTCCCAGATTAAGTGTTTGGCAGCTGCTAAAGATGAGATCATGACATCCGGATTCGACAACAAGGTACACTTCCATATGTTATATATTGTAACTTTTTATTGGCATAATAGACGAAAATGACCCGAATTGTGAAGAAAGTGGCAACCATTTCTGCCTCTAAAAATCAGGAAGGATGGCATTGCAACCTGGAACCAATGCTGGTATTAACTGTGGAATTATTTGAAGGGTTAGCCCGAGTGTTAAACTAAATGGTCAAACTGAACACTCTATACCATTTTGTCCGAAAATTTTAAAATTTTGATAATTTTCGTCTCTTTTTTATTATAAAATCAGGTTATTTTCATCCCAAAGATCAAACTTGGAGCCATTTTTAAGTACTATTGTAGCATGCCTAGGTTTTAACTCAACCAGTTACATTGTAGGTGCATAGAATGGCTCTACAAGGGGATGAATGTGGGGCAGTGGAGGCGGTTGATGTTGGTAGCCAGCCCTTGGGCTTATGTCTCGCCATGAACTCACCAGGGTTGGCTTTGGTATCAACTGAAGCAGCAGCTATTTTGCTCAATGGCCTGAAAGTCGTGTCGACCACTAAGCTCAACTTTGCAGCCACAGTGTGTGCAATAACACCCGACGGAAGCGAAGCCATCATTGGTGGAAATGATGGGAAGTTGCACGTCTACTCTGTCTCGGGTGATAGCCTGACTGAAGAAGCCGTCCTTGAGAAACATAGAGGTGCAGTCAATGTAATCCGCTATTCTCCTGATTTGTCCATGTTTGCTTCGGCCGATTTGAACCGTGAAGCCGTTGTGTGGGACCGCTCTTCTAGAGAGGTATAGTGTTGTTAGCATCCGTATTCCAACTCTAAGTTGTGCATTGCTCCCTTGATTGAATCATTTGAGTTTGGTGGGTGTTGTAGGTTAAGCTGAATAACATGTTGTACCACACTGCACGGATCAACTGCCTTGCATGGTCTCCTAATAGCACATTTGTGGCAACTGGGTCTCTGGACACATGTGTGATCATTTACGAAATCGGGCAGCCGGTTTCGAACCGTATAACCATAAAATTGGCTCATCTAGGCGGAGTATATGGATTGGCATTTACTGACGATTGCACCGTGGTCAGCTCAGGGGAGGATGCTTTTGTTCGTGTCTGGAGGCTCCCATCGCAATAGTAACAATAATGAATATATATATTTATAGGAGCTGCTCTCTTTCTGACTTCTGTTTCTTGTTTGATGTTAGAGATGAACAGCTTGAGAATGGCAAATAAAACGATAGGTATATGAGATGCAAATGTGTGCTGCTATGGTTGGAGATGGGGGTCAAGTTTTGATCGATATTCATGCAGAGCAAGTTAATATTCACAAATCACAAGAGTGTTTTTTTTTTTTTGCCAAATATTATCCACAAGAGTGTTGTTTCCCCATCTTTGATTAAGGGGTCGTTTGGAAGTTGCGATTGTTAAATAGATGTATTGTTGAGAATGCATGTATAATATTATAGAAACAATCCATGTATTGTTTCTGCTAAAAAAACAAAAAAAACGATGCATTATAAACAATACATGCATAATGACAATCTCAACAAAACAATCGCAACTTTCAAACGACTCCTAAGTTTCTTTGTATAACTTCCCCTTCCACTTTCAAATATTTGTTTTTATGTAATGGAGCTTAAATAGTTAAATGTTGTATCTTCTTACGAGTAACTTGATTATTTATATATATATATGTCGTATCCTAGATTTTACCCAAGGTACGATAGAAGCCACCATATATATATATATATATTTTTTGAAGCGTGTAACTTGATTATATTTGTATAGCGTTGGCGCCCAATTTAATTTCGAGTGCATTTCTTCATGTACATCCGGCTGGTATACCATTGAAACACTTTTTTACGATTTATCATTATATTTTCATCTATACAACGAGTACCATTATCTCAATCTTTATGTTTGGATTAGGACTAATTGTCATTCAAGGTCCTTCTATCATTGATCAAGGGCTTGATATTAATCGTTCTTTAGCCCGTTTCACGTTAGGTTATACTTGGTTTAGTATATTTCAGATCATTTGGAATCATAACCGAGACAAAAACAAGAAATTGCAGAAGTCACGATTCAGAGTACCGATGTCACGGCTAGACCATGACATCCACAGAAGCGACCATGAGATTTGCAAGGTTTCAGGAGGAAAACCACAGGTCGCAAGCATTTGCAGAATTCGCGATTTCATTCATGACATTTACAACAGAGACCGTGACATGTGTAACTGATACTGTACGATTTGGGTCGACTTCATGCTTTACTACCCAATATCACACCATGACGTGCGACTGTGACTTGCGCACTTTTGAGTACAAATTGGAGCTGCAACCATTTCTAAGAGAAGAATTTTAGAGCGAGAAACAGGCAACAACCTCCTAGAGAGACATTGACAAACAAGGAGCCCTAGGTGGTGATTTGAGGCTTCAATCATCAATTGGAGGTGAGATTCATCATCAAGGATAGTAGATTGGAGCTCAAGAAAAAGAATCCATTCCCACAAGCTGTTTTTACTTCTTCAGTTTGTGATTTCATCTTTTTTTTCTCACTATGGAGTAGACTCCATTCTAAATTAGATGTGTAGATTTCTAGCCATGTATGTTATGATTTTGTGTTGAATGATTCCTATGCTTGATTGTACGTTTTTTTGTCCAAGACCTTCCAAGAAGGCGATAACCAAACAGACTAACTTACAAAACCAACTCTATACACACGCAGTAGTCTGTATGCAACCAAACTACCAAATGATTCCTATGCTTGATTGCACTCTTTATTATATATTAAATTAACGTATTATCATGAAATTGATTGGGTACTGATCACACTCTCAAATTTGAGCTATTAGTCTAAGGTAGAGAATATCCAATTAGCTTGATTAGAGCATACTTCAATACTTCGTTTTGGGTCAATTGAACGAGTGTGATATTGGACTAAAATTTCGTTTTGTATCGAGATCCTTTAGTGAGAGCGGAATTGCACACCTTGGGTGTTCTGTTTGTCGGTTGTGGAAACTCTCCATTCGGGTAGTTCATCTAAGTGCTCTTGGATAACTAGTATAGGGTGTCCAAGCTAGTTTAGAGCTTTCCGCAATATACATCTTGAGTGGGCAAGCTATGGAAGTTAACCTAATATAGGGCTAGAGAGAAGCACACCCGAGTGTTCTTCTCTCAACTGAATTCCAATCAATCCTCGGTTTGCTTTGCACCAAATCTTGTTAGCTAGGTAAAAAAAAAATTCATGAAGTAATCATAGACAATGCAGTCAAAATCGCATTTTAAAACTTAAAAACTTACGATTTTACGCTTTTAGATTAGCAAAACGATTTCGTTTCCATATAAAAACTTTAGTGTATAAAATCAGACTAAATTGCGCTTTAAACCTTAAAATCTTACGTTTTTACGCTTCTAGTTCACCAAAACGCTTTACGTTTTTACGCTTTTAGCTCATCAAATAAGTATTCTTTTCATGAAATTAAAGGTAAATTACCAATAATATGATGCATTTGATATTAAAGGTACATACCAGGTACTTGGATGCATTCTCAGCCTCAATAGAGTAATCTAATTCACTAGATAGACTCTTCCCAAATTCATTAGAATAGAGGGAACGGTGGCTTATTGTTATGATTTATGTTTATGAACTTATTATTAAGAGACTATAAGTTGTTCTACTTTATGCATGAATTACAGGTATTTATTAACTTATCTAAATTATGTGCAGTATATTTTATATAGTATATGTCGTACTTAACAGATTTTTAGTTATGTTACAGCATGCGTCAAAAACTTACGTTTTTACGCTTTAATTCTACGCTATATGATTTTGCCCGTTTTCCGCTTTTAGGTAGAATCGCGCTTTTGACTGCATTGATCATAGATATGTATCCCGAGTTCATAAATTCAACTTACTTCCACTAGACTACACTTGTTGTATAGTTACACTTGGCCATTAGTTGGGAGAGTAGTTGTACGCAAAGTCAAGTTTTTGGCACCGTTGACGGAGAATACAGCTAAGTTCTTAAGAAAGTGGACTATTGTTACTTTAGCATTTTTTGTTTCATTTTGATTTTGCTTTTCATGGTTGTGTTGTTTGAGTTGTGCTACAAGTAGTTTATGACATAGAATAATCCGAAGAATTTGCAACCGATCGACCACGACATCAACTGGACTCTTTGAATCCTTTCTGAAAGAGAATTTAGAGAATCTCTAGAGAGGTTAGCAACTCATAACCCTCCAGAAGAAGAAGGAGTCGAAGTTGAAGATACAGTGGATGAAAATCAATAAGAGGGTGAACCGGAGCGGACCATGGGGTTCTTTTCACCCAGGGGTCGAAGATATACAACCAAACATTTGACATCGTCCTATTACATCCAGAAACTTTAAGATTAAGATGAGTGTCATCTCGAGGATTCAAAACAACATCCAATTCTCCGGTCTCAACCATGAAGCACCAAGAGATCATATCAACCACTTTTTGGACAAGAAGCACTCTGGTTGAGATTGTTTCCCTACTCCTTGAAGGGACGAATACATATGTGGCTCACAACCAAGAACCACTCTCTATCACTTCTTGGAAGAATTTAATGAAGAAGTTCACGGACCGTTACTTCCTACCTTCAAAGATAGCCAAGCTTCGTAAAGCCATCACTCACTTTTCCCATTAAGATGATGGGACAATGGTCCTTACCATGGATTTGACACCACTTCAAGGTCGGTACCTTCTACAATGGACTCTTCCAAGAAAGACCGCATGCTCATTGATTGCTTTTGCCAAGTAGATTTGCTCAACAAGACTCCTCCTCACATGAAACAATTATTTGAGGAGATGGATGTTCGTAGATATGATTGGGGAGTCACTAGAAGAGGAAGGAGTTTAAGAGAAAGGCACCTACTCGATCGAATCTCGTACTTCACTCGAGTGGGGTGCCATTTTCAGTGCTAAAGTTCACATATTTATCATCATAATGATTTAGAATTGCTTGATAGTTGCTCAAAGGTGTGTTTAGTAGTTAATATGAGTGTTTTGATTCTTTTTACTCCCTTTGGGTAGTTTTTCATGCATTTTCATGCCAAAGTTTCCAAGTGGACACCTTGTACGAGCTAGAGACTTCAAGGTCCAGCTGCTGGAAGGCAAGTCCCAAAAATGGCAGCCCATTTAGCCGACCATAGACCAATTTGGCACCTCAGTCGCCAATTTTCAACCTAGACCATCCCAGTTTTGCATAACTATTCCTCACTTGGAGGCTAAGCTGGATATGGTAGAGAGATGCGACCAGAAGACTTTCCTTTCTATTAAATCTCTCATAAAATGATAGAAGAGGCTATATAGCCCTCTCAACCAACATTTGAACATCAAGTCATATATAGGGGTTTCTCTGTCGACAAAGCAACTCAGTGGTTCTAGAAAGCAAGTAGTAGGCTTTAGGGCATAATGGCACCCATAATGCACCTTAGGTGCCATCCCCCCCCCCCCCCCCCCCTAAGTCTCCTTTTTAGAATCTCATGTATCTCGTTGTTTTGAATGATGTACTCATTTGGTTCAATCCCACTGAGTGGCCCGTTCGTTAGTTGTATAGATTGGTGAACCCTAAATGTTGCTTAGAATATGTAAAGGTCTATTCTTGATTATATATGTGTTGTATTTTCTTTAGTTCACTTTATTATGTTTATTAGATTTATTTTCTTGCGATTATATTGAGTGGATTGGGAGAAGGAAGCCCTTATGATTTTGTGCATCATGTGCAATACATGTCTGACAGTAACTTTTGCTACGTGATATAGAAATTGAATCATTCGGTGATTTACGTGCCTCCCTAGTCCATCTCTAAATGGGACATCCACAGAAGATGGTCGGATATAGAAGCATTTTGAGTGGAGACATCCGTGTGGATTCTCTCAGCCACGAATGTATACTTCCCCATCACGTTAGAGAGAGTTTGAGGAAACTCTAGGGGGATTTTGCATATGCAACACCTTTTCCTTCTATTTTCCCTCGTCCAATCTATTATTTAATTTTATTTTGGGTTCTTGAAAAGCCAAGGGGAACCTCAATCCCCATAGTTCATTTATAAACCCACGAACAGATCCCTTGCTGACTAAGAAGGGTACGTGAAAGGCCATGAGGAAAAAAATGATCTACGTTACCTGCTAGGTAAATTTGACTCATATTATACAGTTAATCAAATTTTGACACCGTTGGCTGGGAGTTTCATGATTCTTTCTGAAAGGGAGTAAGGTACATGTTATTTGTCTTTGTCTTTGTCTTTGTCTTTCTTTTTATTTTTGTTTTTCATTTTTTATTTTAATTTTGTGTGTTTTTCATCTTATTAGTCCTTTCGTATTTATTTTCATTTATGTTAGTATTTTGTCTCTTTTTGCTCTTCTTTTCGTGTAATTTTATGTCTTATAGGTTGTAGTCAGAGTCTTATTGCCGATTTTTGGAAAATTTTGGCGATTCTAACACCATTTCATAGAGACTCGCGACTTGATAGTTTATAT